GTGTTTAAAATAAATATATTTTATTACTTTGCCAGGACAGTTCATGGTAAAGTTAAACAGTATATGAACATAAAAAGTATATGTTAATGTACAAAGACAATATTTATGATGGGAAATGGAAACCAGTCAAAGCTTAAATCTCAAAACTCTCCCATGGTCGCCTTCAGCCTGCAGCAGCGGCTGGATAAATGTACAACAGATCCCACAGTAAACTGTGTCTCATATTAACACAAATATACAAGACTGCATATCGTCTATGTTCTGATGGGAAAAGGTGATCGTCTGTCCTGGAGGGGTTCCTGGCAGACAAACACGACAGACCTACTGTTGTATGGCTGATGGTGAAGTTCACAGTCATGATTTCTGGCTCCTGATTAGCTTCGTCTTGGGTTAGACTGATACTCGGGCACTCGTGGAGTTTTTAGACTCCTGTCTGGGTTTTATTCACAACAAGAAAGTAAATCTGTAAATCAGCTCCTCGTGACTGTAACCAATCGTGACCCTCTCATGGTCAGTGTACAGGTTGGATTGTATTCTAACATTTTCAGAAACCCATCTTGCAAATAAAGTCAAAGAGGAAACAAAAAACAATAAGTTAAAATAAATAAATTAGATGAAATTAAGCACAGAGAGATCCCACCCCTAAGCCTCACTACGTCACCGCTGACCTGGAGTATGTACAGGGTTGACTTCCTAGCAGGGGACAGCTCATTGTTGAGTATCTGTAAAGGTTTGAACTTGAATACTGGCCACTGCTGATTAGTCTTCCCATATCAGTCGAACTCAAGTTCGTACCTCGCCTGTGAACCAAGTAGCTGTCAGATGATTGATTCGATTGATTGATGACAGCTAACTGGCTCCCTGGCTGAGGAGTGGCAGATGGAGCTCTGCTGTTTGACATGAACACAAACAGAGGACATCAAACATCGAGAGTTGAGGTGACTCGGTTGGCATTTGTCCCATTTGTCCTAAACGACACGTGTGTTGCATTTTCCTGCTGTTTCAGTGGGAGTTTCTGTTTCCAAGCACAAACACAGAGCGTCGTTTCCACAGAGCTGCCGACTGGAATGCAAAGCACACACCGTTTATATAACATCTCTGCAGTGAGCTAGATAGTAGAGTACAGTTACATCGGTACGACATTCAGTGGAGACTAATAAGAAATTCAGCACGGTGAGGTTCTTTCCTAAAAGGAACAGAGAACAGTCCCTGCTGCATCCAGGAGCCCGAGGGCTTGTCGATGCTTCGGGACAGGATGTGGACATTCTTCAGCTGCGAGAACTTTTCATGTCAAAATAAAAAACGTGTCTCACCAGGAGAGCACGTCAGAGAGAACCACAGGAGAACAATTCCTATGTTACATTAAGATAAACTCCCTAATACTGCACATCATTCTTCTGTCAGACTCCAACACGTTACTCACATCCAAGCACACAAACAACAAATCAAACAGCTCAGGTATGATATGTATTTGCAGTGATAGAATCTAGAAAGTCTCACATTAAGAGTTCCAGATGTGCTGCCACATGTTCTACACGTGGAAACCTGTCATCCATGTATGCTGACCGAGAGTGTGGCGTCACAGTTCACCTAATCCTAATCAGTCCACGGAGAATTCATTATTTTAATCTGATGTGAGCCTTCAATAAACTGTGAGTGTAAAATGTACAATAGGGAGAGATTTTGAGTCCGTTTGTTGTGCAGTACCAAAAACACATGACAGCTGATGTTGAGTCGATCTTTTTAAATGTCATCGTCAGATGACGCTTCAATAAGAGCAACGACAACGCAACAGCTGCACTCGCCCACAGTGGACATCACTTTGATTGTGTAAGTATTTTTTGGGGACTTTGTTTTGTGTTTGCTCGTGCTGTGTAGCAATCTGCCATTACACACACACACACACACACAGGATGGAGTGACATGAAAAAGGATTCATGCTTCAAACTGCATCTGGAATGAGTTGGCGTGCTGACAGCAGGGACACGAACTACCAACGTTTGCTCCTCCAAACACGAGAATGTTACAATCTAACAGTATTGATTATGAATACAAGATAAATGTTGCTCTGTGGACCAGCATAGCTATCACACACTTTCAACCTGCTGTGCTACACTTTCATACCTTTGAGTCAAGAATTCAGTTGGTAATACAGAAAATGAAGAACTATTATTTTCATTTTTGTCTCAATGTGATAGAAAACAGATGACAGAGAGCTGTCCACGTATCGTCTGACAAATCATGTGACTGCAGGTCTTCTTCACCGGACTGCAGAATCGTACGAGACTTGAACAGACTGAGTGACCTGTACTGAACACATTTACCATCATTTTCACAGTGTAATCATTTTAATGTCTTATTTGTTATGCCTGTTATACTTTTTATAGAATTCTTACACTTGTTGCTCGAATAATGTTTCCAACTGAAACAGGCGGCACTCAGCTGTGTGAAAGGAGCCTGGCTATACTGAACTAACTGGTGTCTCTCAAGATTCAGTCTGTCTAAAGAAGGCAAATTTAATGTTACAATGAATGAGGTTTGTTGTAAGACACACTTCTGTCTTCATGGTAAACTCAGTTACTGTACTTAAGGCTCTAGTTTCATTAACGAAAAGACACAAGGATGGTATTGCTGCTCTCACTTTGCTATCAACAAGAAAGCAGAAACTGCTATTCCCCCAAACTGAAAAGTTAGCCCCAAAGGTTCCACGTTACCGAACCCATGCATGTGTGCAGCATCTGTGCAGCGTCTGTGCAGCAT